AGTTTCAGCAGCTCCTTCAAGACTTCTTCAATGGCAAAGAGCTTTGCAAATCCATCAACCCAGATGAGGCCGTGGCCTATGGTGCAGCTGTCCAAGCCGCCATTCTCAGCGGTGAAGGCAACGAGAAGGTCCAGGACCTTCTCCTGTTGGATGTCACCCCTCTCTCCCTCGGTCTTGAAACCGCTGGCGGTGTCATGACGGTGTTGATCCCGAGGAACACGACCATCCCAACAAAGAAGGAACAGGTCTTCTCCACCTATTCTGACAACCAGCCCGGAGTGCTGATCCAAGTGTACGAGGGAGAGCGAGCCAGGACCAAAGACAACAACCTCCTCGGCAAATTCGAACTCTCCGGCATCCCTCCTGCTCCCAGAGGTGTCCCCCAGATCACGGTCTGCTTCGACATCGACGCCAACGGTATCCTCAATGTCTCGGCCGAGGACAAAACGACAGGACAGAAGAACAAGATCACCATCACCAACGACAAGGGCCGTCTGTCCAAGGAAGAAATCGAGAGAATGGTCCAAGAGGCGGAGAAGTACAAATCAGAGGACGAGGAGCACAAGAAGAAGGTGGAATCCAAGAACGCGTTGGAGAACTACGCGTACAACATGAGGAACACAGTCAAGGACGAGAAGATCGGAGAGAAGTTGCCAGCGGCGGACAAGAAGAAGATCGAGGACGCGATCGAGCAGGCGATCCAGTGGCTGGAGGGTAACCAGTTGGCGGAAGCCGACGAGTTCGAGGACAAGATGAAGGAGCTCGAGAGTATATGCAACCCGATCATCGCCAAGATGTACCAAGGTGCCGGCGGTGACATGGGCGGCGGTGCTCCGACCGGAATGGACGATGATGTTCCTCCCTCCGGCGGAAGCGGAGCTGGTCCCAAGATTGAGGAAGTCGACTAAGCTATTCTCTCTCTTATCTTCTTCATTATCTCTCTCTCCTCTCAATTATTACGATATCTTTTTTTCTGATTTTGTGGAACCTTTATTTTGTTCCGAGACTTCCGTTCCCTTTTTCTCTGAAATTAATTATGATGGATGCAATATGCAATTATTTTTTGCAACATGCCACGTACAAGCAATGATATATTTGTACGTTTGTCGTCACAAATGATTCAAGTGAGATTATGTTAGAAGCTAGTTTGGGCCGTTGGGAATCTGCTGTGCTTTAAATAGGCCCAATTTAATGAAGCGGACTTCTCCCGGTATAAATAACTAGCACGTATGACGATCGCGGAAACGACGTCGCTTGGTAACGGACGTTGTTCAACACTTGTAAAAAGAAAGCCTTGTGGGCTCCGGAGAGCAGAGAGCAGATTCTGTATATCTGGCTGTGTTGATGGATTCAGCAGTTTTAGAAGGAGCGCGTAAATTTGTAGAATCTCCTCTTTCGAGTTCGGAAAACCCTAAAACACTTGAATTTCGCCGTCGGAGATGCCTCTGGTTTGTCGCCCTTTTACTTTTTGAATTCTCGATTTGTTGCGTTTTAGATGCATTTGTGATTTGCTTGAGCTTTGTTGATTTTCCACCGATTTCGAGTTGTTTCTGCTTCGGTTTCATTCTCCGCGTTTCGATTAGGGTTTCTTGAGATTGTGGACTCTTCTTTTACGTACAATTTGGAGGCCCCTGTTTAATGGAAGCTCGTGTTTTGTTACTGCTTCTTTTACGTACAATTTGGAGGCCTCTGTGTGTGTTCTGAGAACGATCGAATAAGAAGTCAAGTTCAGAAAGAGCTCTCAGTGTCCCACAGCTCGTCGAATTAGGGCATTGATTGATGGTAAATATAGTTAAGTGTTTGTTACCCGAATGTTGCCGTTGTTTTGCTGATTATCTTAGGTGACTTTTGGCGATGAGATTAATATACAATGCACCAATGATCTGTCGATTTAGTCGCCGACTGGTTTTAGCCGCTCTTGAAGCTTTGTTCTCATTGTTCATCTTTCTCATGGTTCTGTGTTGACTTGAAAATAAGGAATGACATTGGTAGGCTCTATCTATTTGCTTCACTAGATTTGCTAGTAATATTTCCGGTGCATCGTATTTGTCCATCTACTAGTAACTGGTTCAATTGGAATGAAGTTCATTTATGCTGTTCTGTCTTCCCTTAAGTGTGACTTTCACTGACTTGTTGTTTGTAAAATTTCTACAGAAACAGTCGATTCTGTACAGAGATGGACATTGGCTGCTTGGGAGAGAAAGATAGTCCTTTCTCTACTCCAAAGAGGCATAACCATACTTCTACATTGGACAAAACTCCGGAAAGAAGGAAGTTAGCACTTGACAATGAAAATGAAAATGGGTTAGTGTATGTTGTTTGCTGCTTCCTCACCCCATGTCTTTCTGATTTTCACCTGAACCTAAAAGTCACTTTTCATTTTGCCTTGGGAAAAGATCAGAGAAGAAAGGACAATCGAGAAGTGCTGGAGGTGGACTTCGTCAATTTAGCGTTCTGGATCTGTTATCTTCACGTTCGAACCATATATATATATATATTCTTTTATTTCTACTTCAAAATGCCTTGCTATTCCAAACAAGAAAAATGGAACCCACTAAGCACAACCGGAAGTTTTGCTGGTTTGGAGATTTCAAGTTTTGTTTTGATTCTGATTCTCGACGATAATATTAATGAGTTGCTGATTGTTTTTCCAGTTTGTCAGAAGCTGGAAGCCAAGAAGATAATTACATATAAGGAGGTGATGAATTCTTTTCGTTTAAATATCTGGATACAATGTCTGCTTCGGTGAAGAAGTGGTTATATACATGGCATGGTTATCTTTAGCTAAGCACATAGACTAGATGAAAAGCCATACAACAGGGTGCATGATATGTAATGTTCAATTGAATTAAACTGATTGGTGTCTAGAATATTTAAGTTGACGTCAATTAAAGTTGATTTGTTTGGAATAAGCAGTCATTTCAACTAAAACCCCCTGAATATCTGGCTATGGAGTTCCTTCCCAGATCCCGTGTCTGATTAGGTGTCTGCCCTTCGCGTTTTGTGTTAACATAAATTTCCTTTCTGCTTGATCATCAAAAGTGAAAATCTGTGATCGATTGAGATTTGATACTTGTGATTCCAGATTGCAGATGACATTATTTCAGATTTTGGCACAATGCAGAATGACACATTGGGATCTTCAGAAGAGGTATAGCATGACATGAAAGATGACTTCATATTTTTGCATTATTTAGAAGGAATATAAATCTTTCTTTTACGATTTTTCAGTTCAATGAGAAGAATATAAGAAGACGGGTCTATGATGCACTCAATGTTTTCATGGCATTGGAGATCATCACAAGGGATAAAAAGGAAATCCGATGGAAAGGACTTCTTGTTACCTGCAAGAAGGATGTGGAAGAAGTAAAGGTTTCATTCCACCATTTTCTTATGTTCTTACAATCTCTTCTTCCTGTCTTATGTCATTAGTGTTCAGTATATGACTTTTCAGGCTGAACGGACGAAACTCGTGAGCAGTGTCCAAAAGAAGGCTGCTTATCTTAAAGAGTTGGAAGAAAAGGTAATTCTCCTTTCTCGTACTCGTTTTCAACTCTTATTATGCATTGCAAGGCACAATCAAAACTAGCAAATTTATTGTATCAGTTCTCACTTGTTCTGAATCTCACCTTTAGAAGTATTCATATATCTACAGGATACTTGAACAATTTTTCATTAATTGTCCATCGTAATGAAACGTTACGGTCTTTGTCCATTCTTGTTTAAACATTTAAGTAATGTTCTCAGGTTTCGAGTTCGCAAAATCTTATGTCAAGAAATCAGCAGGTGGTTGAGAAGTCTAAAGGCCCTGCAGAAGGATTTACTTTGCCATTCATCCTTGTTCAAGTACTTGAATTTCCCTACTGCCATCCTTTTGGTCTGATATTTATATTCTTGTCACAATATATTCTGTCTGGATCTTCTGATTTCTTGAAACACATGATATATAATTTTCTGATGTAACTATATATGTCCCCTTCTTAACTACATGTAGACAAGTCCTCATGCAACTGTTGAGGTGGAGATTTCAGAGGACATGCAACTGGTACACTTCGACTTCAGTAGGTAAAGGACTTCTCTCTATTCCACATCGAAACCCGATTTCTGAAAACTAAAAATCAAACTTCAAAGATATTTATGAATATCGAGAGTGATTTCTGAACCGGGTCTCTGTGATTTATATGCATGCAGCACACCTTTCACATTGCATGATGATGGTTACATTCTGAAACTGATGCACCAACAGAAGCTGCAGCAGAAGACAAGGCACCACCATCCTTCTCAGCATTCGTCTGCTCATTCTTCGTCCACCTCGGTTTTCTCTGCAACCACTGGTCCTGTCTGCTGGAACACATATTCCGCCAGCACTACTTACTAGCTGACGACAAAAAAGAAGCGAATACCCGAGTTTTTTTTGGGGGGGCCTGCCTGAAGAAAGGGAGATGAAGAACTAAAAAGGGATCAAATTGTTAAGAGTATTTATACATCATCTGGTTTATTGTGCCTTAGAATAGGTTTCCTTATGAAGTGGAGGTTTATGTGATTGCTACGGTTTAAAGGAGACTGTAAATGACAATTCATAGGTGAAATTGCTAATACACATACTTCGGCTTAGGGAGCTTCAGTACCATCTGCTTTCTTCCGATAACCGATTCGGTTTACATCGCCAAACCGATCCATTTACATGGTTTGGACGTTTGCATCAGTGAACCGGTGAACAAGATTAGACCGAACCGGACTCTGTTTCGCTCAAAATGGTTTGGGTTGGGGCTGTGGCGTGGAAATCGCCATCTCTCTACACTCGACTTTGGGGCGCGTGGTATCCACGCATTGAAATGCCAATACTTAGGGATGTAAAACGAAACGCGGATCGCGGGCCGACTCGTGAGTCGGCTCATATTTTTCTGGGATGGGTTCAAAATATTTGAGTCCACAAAAAACCGGGCCAAATGAGCCAGCCCATCACGAGCCGGACTCGTGGCGGGCCAGTCATCACGAGTCGGGCTGGCTCGCGGGCCAAAAAAAAATTATTTTTTTTAAAATTTTAATATTTTTATATATTTTAAAATATTTTTATATACAAATTATATTTTTTATTACATATTTAGTTTGTTTTTGTTTAAAATTTTATTTTTTATTACATTTTAAATATTTTTTAAATATGAAAATTAGTTTTAAATATTTTTAGTATTAAAATTTTATTTTTAAAAATTATATCTTTGGCTCACAGGCCGACTCGTTTGGCTCGCGGGCTAAGACGATATGGGTTGGACTGAAATATTTATGGCTCGCTAAAAAACGGGTCGGGTTGGGCTAGACTAAATTTTTTTTCAGATCGGAACGAGCCGGGCTGGGCTGAGCCGGGCCGGCCCGTTTTACACCCCTAATAAGGGCAAGGTACCCTTGATACCATGCAACCCTAAGGCTAACCAATACCCGAATTCACAAAAGGTCGCTGTCTCGTTTGGCTCGCGGACCGGCCGTTTGGCTCGCGGGCTAAGACGATATGGGTTGGGCTGATATATTTATGGCTCGCTAAAAAACGGGCTGGACTGGGCTGGACTAAATTTTTTTCAGATCGGAACGAGCCGGGCTGGGCCGGGCCGACCCGTTTTACACCCCTACCAATACTCCCACGCAAAATAAAAATCGAAACATACTAAAAAAGGAAAAAGAAAAAAGAAAAAGGAAACACCCAGGGGAAGGATGAACGGGGGGACACTTGGGAGAATGTTGGACTGTTTTAATTAAAATACTTTATGCTGCTTTTAAGTATTATTTCGCTCCATTCTTATATATTACAATTTCAATCATATCTTATAAATGGCCCATTTGGACCAACTTCCTTTCCCTTTAAGAAAATGTTTACTTAAGACCGGAATGCACAAAGCTCCTCTTCTTTTCATTACCATTAAAGCATATATATAGAGAGAGAGAGAGATGAGATACTTGTCCACATATTGTTTTGTTCTAATTATATACTAGCATTTTACATATAATATGAGCTTCTTTCTTGATAATAAATATTCCAATGTATATAGGTTAGAATGTGAACTTTAAAAACACCTTTCAAAGGTGGGAATATATAGTAATATTGCAATATGTGTATATATATATATATATATGTATACGTCTGAGTGTAGAGAGAGAAAGGGGGTGATCTCTTTTGCACACTCAGTCCAGAAGCAGCAGTATGAGAGTCAGAGAGAATCTAAAGAAGCTTATGGGTTAAGCAACTTGACACCATGGACCGACCCAAATATTTATTTATTTATGATAATATATATATACATATGCGTGTATATATATATGTGTGTGTGTGTGAATAAAGGTCCTTGCTTTAAGCTTTGATCTCTCCCTCTCTCTCATCCCTTGGTCTGTTGATGTAATTCTCCACTTCAACTCCCTTTATTGTTCAAACGGTACCAAGAGAAAGAGTTCATATCAATTAAGAAGAGGAGAAGAAAACAATGGTTTTTTCTTCCTTCCCAACTTATCCTGATCCCTCCAATTGGCAACATGTAAGTTCCTCTCTCTCTCTCTCTCTCTTCATACATTTATTTTTCTTCGTTTCGATTTCATGGGGTTTATAGTTTTTCCCCCAAGAATAAAAAATAAAGAGGAACAAAACAGAAGTAGAAAGAGATTCTTCCTTGTTCTCACTTTTGATGATATCTTGCATATATATATATATGTGTATATATATATATATCTATGTCCATGGTTGAATTCTGAATATACCCTTGTGATCTTTTCATGCTTAGATCACTTCTCACTTTTTTTTTTCTTTTCTCAAATTTATGTATTCAGCAAACAATCATTCCTCCTCCTCAACCGCAACCGCCGCATGGAGGAGGAGATGGCGGCAGGAGCACAGGTTCATCAGTGAGGCCAGGTTCCATGGCGGAAAGAGCCAGACAGGCGAACATAACCATGCCTGAAGCAGCCTTGAAATGTCCAAGATGTGAATCCACCAATACCAAGTTCTGCTACTTCAACAACTACAACCTCTCTCAGCCTCGCCACTTCTGCAAGACCTGCCGCCGTTACTGGACACGCGGCGGTGCCCTAAGGACCGTTCCGGTCGGCGGTGGTTGCCGGAAAAACAAGCGTTCCAAAAGCAGTAGCGGCAGAGGAAACAACAGTTCCAGTACCAGTTCTAGGTCCCAAGACTCAAATCCCATTGTTGGACCAACAACTTCATCTATGAGTTCGATGCTCTCTTCCTACAACACTGGATCGGACACAAGCCATGATCGTGGAATAGGGCCTGTATCTTCTTTACCATTGGATCCACACCATGAATTCACCATCTTCCAGTACGGCGCCGTTTCAGGTTCTTACGAACATCATCAGCATCACCCTCGTCCTGACCTAACCGCTTCTGGGCTTTTGTCGGGGCTCGAGCAGTGGCGGTTTCCGGCTGCTCGGCGGCTTGGAGATGGCTTCACCGTCGCTGTCTTCCGGGTTGTACCCGTTTGATTATCAGATGGGTATGGATTCAAGTTATGGAGTAAACGGGTCGAGTCATTTTAGGGCAAAGAACATCTTCCACAACATTTCATCTTCTTCTTCTTCGTCTGCTGCTGCGGCCATGGATACAGCAGCAGCTTCTCAGTTAGCTTCAGTCAAAGCGAAGGACAATAAAAATAATCAAGATCGTCAACTGAACATGTCCAGACAACTTCTTGGGAACACCGAACAGTTTTGGAATGTCTCCGCCGCCATTGCCAGTTCGTGGAGCGATGTATCTAATGTCAGCTCTTCTTCCACAAGTAATCCTCTCTAAATGAAACCCAGTTAACCAGATCGCGATGATCATTATAATTAGTATCGCTAATACAGGTTTGGGGATGATTATGCCGTGTTAATTTACTAGTTTATGGGGTTCCATGGAAAAAAAAAACCCTAGTGGGGGGAAAAAGACAACATCTTTGTATGAGTTTTGAATTAGGTTTTTAATTTAATTTTATTGAATTAGTATGAACATGTTTTTTTTTAGAATGGTGTTTGTGTAAGTTTAACTACTCTATTGTGGTTAATTAAGAATTAAAACTCAATTAGTTATATTTGTATGAAACTAATCGTTTTCAGTTCAATGTTCTTTATATCTCTCTCTCTTAATTTACAATGATTGAAATCCACTGTTTATCTATTAGGACCAAAGTTTCTAAATATAGCAGTAAACATATATGATATAGTTAACATAGTTCTGGTAATTAACATATTAATTTACTTGCATCCCACCGTTTATGTGTATTATAAGAAGAGTATATGCAATACAACATATTCGTCTTAATTACTTTTATACGTGAGTATATGTGTATGTGTAGGTGTATACGTGTATGTACATATATGTATATACACCCTTTTGCGCTCTATTGAATTATCTTACTCGAATCAATCTAACTTTCATCGAGAAACTTATGAATATAAAATTCTAGTTCAAGCAATGGCGCAGCCGATTAGAACCATCACTACCATTTTACGATCATAATCCTCCATCTTTTAAATTTTTCATAAGAACTATGTTATATATCATAAATAAATGAAATAAATCTCATTTTTCTGCTTGTAAATAAGGTTGGAAAATACCTTTTTTTTTGTTGAAAAATACTATTTACACTTGGTAAGGATCAACAATATATATAATTAATCCGATTACTTAAACTTTGTCATTAATTACTCCATTCCATGTTATTGTGTTGAACGTTTTGTTGTTATGTTCTTGGAAACAAAAGGCTAATCCAATCTGGTTAGTTCAACCGGTGAAACGGGGGCGCAAAACGTCTGTCCCGCCCCGAATTCGAACCCCAGGTTGGGGAGGGAGCGCATAATTCAATTTACATGGCTGGCTCGCGGCCCCGGGATTAGTCTGGGCCTCGCCCCAAGAAACCCGGTTATCCAAAAAAAAAGGCTATATGTCCTTTATCTGCTTACGAAGTCCGCCCAATTTCGAACCGTTCTAATTATTCTATTTTTTAAAATTTAGAGTATTCTACGGGCATACTTTAGGCTTTTTTTATGATTTTGATGTAAAGCAAAGTGAGAATATATTTCATACTTTATCTAAAAGAGCTCAACTATAGTTGAACATGCATAGCCGAATTAGTAAATGTTTCGAACTAAAATTGCAATTAAAATACGCAATATATATATATATATATATATATA